GCAGCGTGCGCTGGCTCCTGGACCGCGCTCCCACCAACGCACGCGAAGGGCGGACCCTCCAGCGAGACAATGACCACGTCTTCTCTCGGGTCTGCAACGACGTGGGGGCGTGGCTAGGGCGGAACCTGGTAGTGACGGGCGTCGGGCTCCACCAGTGAGTGCACAGGATGCAGATTGTGCTGGGCACGCCTCCCCCGGGAGGGAAAACAGAGAGGGCGGCTGGGAGGTAAATGGTCCAGCACGGGTCCTGGCGTTTAGCTGACTTCAGTAACTTAGCAAGTCTACTCATGGGGGAGTTGGAGGAGACACCTGATTAACGCCCTGGACCCAGAGTCGGGGTTGAAAATCCATTCCTTCCTTTAATAAATAATTGCCTAAGGGCCACCGTCGGGCCAGTTTGAGTAAAATGCCCTCCAAGGAGCGCAGCCTAGCCATTTAGACCAGTGCTGCTTCCTCTCCGCGATGCAAGACCTGCTTCTAATCCATTAGGCATAGATCTCTCTAAATGAGGGTAAAGGTCAATTCCTCATAAATGACGTGACAAAACATATATACAAATGCAAGTTCATTTTTTAAAATATGGAAGTCGATATAAAGTCACATTTCAATAAATAACAGGTTCATAAAAGAGAACATATTTTAGGAAACTGTACATTTTGCTCAGAGAAAATTTGCCCATCAGCGTTCACGACAGACAATGGCTGTTACACGGTAACTGGTTGTCCCATTGTAACTAAAACACCGGTGTGAGTGACATTTCTATTCTGCACACTAAGTGCCTGTAAGCACATTTTGAATAAATACAATGTGTATAAATATGTAAAGCTTTCAATGTTACAAGTGAGATTGTTCCTTCATTGGTCATTTATCTGACCTAGGTTGGAATGATAAAAGCATTACTTGCAGAGGAAAACTTATCTCTAAACTATTTCTAAGTTCTAAGCTGTGGAGAAAAGTTTAATAAGAATTTATTGGAGCCCTGGCCAGTTTGGCTCAGTGGATAGAGCATTGGCCTGTGGACCAAAGGGTCCCGGGTTCAATTCCAATCAAGGACAGGCACTGCCCTGGCCCGGGCCCCGGTTGGAGCTGTGTGCAGGAGGCAACCAATCGATGTGTTGCTCTCACATGGATGTTTCTCTGTCTTTCCCTCTCTCACTCTCTCTTTCTCTCTAAAAAAAAAAGAGTTTATTGGAGCCAAGTTTTTGAGGACACACCCAGAAGTAAGATCTCAGGAGACTGAGAAAATGCTCCAGAGAATGACAGTTCTGCGTTGTGAATCCGAAGGGAAAACGTAAAGAAGACACATGGCATCCACTGGCAGTAGGTTAAGGAGGCGGGAGAAAACCAAGTGGGGAAATCTTCAGGATTGGATCACATGTGGAGAAACCCATGGGTAGTAAGGATGATGAATAGTTAACATTACAGTACACAGAGGCGGCATGATGAGGGAACAAGGTACAGTGAGGGGTCTGTGGTCTCGTGCTCTGGTGGTCCTGTGCCCGGGTGCCTGTGGCTGAGCCTTCGAGGAGTCTGGAAAAGAAAAGTACTTGGACATTTCAAACGT